TGTGCGGAAGTGTATCGAAGCTTTGGTCCGGATATTTCTTAAATTAATCGATCTTTTCGCCTGTTACTATGTTTGCTAAAGAACCCATACAGTTGAAACACTTATATTTTATTCCATATTCTAACAATAATAGAAGTTAATCACAGGCGTCTTTCAAATTGCCGTCCTCGTGAAGTAAGAAATCTATTAACTTTGGTACATTAGTAAGTAAATTTTGCATTTTATTATCCGCGCCTCTGAAGAGAGTGCGAGCTATGCGGTGAATGCCACATTTAAAGAGCACAAAAACTTCTGAACAGTATGGCTTGTTGTTCGGTACATCAACTACGAGCAAGTGTGTTGTCAAGATGAAGTTTGTAGCAGCCCTGAAGTCACTTCTTCATAAAATGGAGTGAGATATCTGTTGTGAATGTTGCAGTAAAATACCCCAGTAACGTTCTGTTCCAGAAGGAACAATGTACAAATACCACAGGCTTGAATTGCTCGCCAAACGTGGACTGATCTCATGCCTCAGGCGATATTATCCAGCAAACACCCTTCCAAGAACTATTCTGCTATATGTCTATGGACCCTCATTTGACCATCGATGAGATACAAAAAATACCTTGATTCTTCAGCAAAACCAGTTTCATTCCAGTGATGGTTGACCAGGTTCCGGTGCCTCTGAGATCAATGAACGTAACAATCTCAGTTCATATTTCACTCCATCTGCAAGAGCTGACTTCAGGGCTAGCTCCAGGCTTCATCATGACAGCACACTTACACACAGTTCTCGTTTGGTAAGTGATTTGTTGCAGAAACACAATGTTCTGAGGAAAGAGCCACCACATTTGAGCCCTGATACTAACCCTACTGAGCACCTGTGGCATGAATTGGAGTGTGCAATGCAGAGGAGAACCAACTCCCTAAAAATCTGGCCCAACTCCTACAATCTGTTTAGGAAGACTGTGACGATACAAAACAGAATTGTTACCCTTGTCGATGGCTTGTCGTGCCGACAACAGGAGATATTTGCACTACGCGGCAGGTACGATACGCGACAGGTACGATTAGATACGAGACCGTTAACAAGCACACCCTAGTGCTAATTGTGTGTACATTTGGAGACATTTGGTGGCGTCTTTTAAATTTTATGGACAAACGCAGTGAAACATTGTATTTGAGGGAGGACATGTCGTAAATTCAAATAAATAATATAAAATACGGATATCGTTACCACCATTTTGTATTTTCTGAACCATTAAGCATGCTATATATGGTATCTGAAATAAAAATCACTGTTAATGACAATTTACACGTGTGAGGTGATAGTTCGTAAACAACAACGCCTGGTATTGGAGGTGGGACAACCTTTTTAACCAATGTTGTATGTAACTTAAATGTCTGACACTCATACTTAACCTCCTAGGGGGGGAATAACGAAATTGAATTACCCCCTAGTTACTAAACATTTACATTTAATCTGATGACACTTAAAGAACCTTAGCTAGAATTCCCGCAGAGCTAGATCGTCCAAGCTAGTACGATGCGTTTATGGGAACCCAGTCTAAGGTGGTACTTTCAAAGGTAAATAAGGCGATTTTTTACCTGGATAAAAGCTCGGTTTTTACCTGCTTCACTTTAACTGACTTGAATATGCCCTGTTGAATACTAATACTTAAACTGATGTTAGTTATTAAGGATCATGTTTGGAGCCCAATTATGGCGAGAAATGGAATTTGAAGCGTCAAGACTTGTACAAGTTTACAAAAAGCATGAAGGAGTTCACTCACATCGATAAGGGATCAAAAGTTTGGTATTTTTCACCAAACCAACTTAAATACATTAAATTCCTTTTCGTTTTGTTTTATTCCAGATTTCAGTTTTTTTACCAAGGGCTAGAAGGTCACTACGCAGGGGGTATTGGCGGCCATGAGACAACAAAGCACTTCGCCCAAAATGAATACATCATCAAGTGTGTATAATAATAATAATAATAATAATAATAATAATAATAATAATAATAATTATTTTATAAGAAATAAAACCCACATTGCTTAGGGTTATAAGAGAAAAATATTTCTGTGAAAGTACATGCAGCCTACAATTAACATTCATAAGAGTTAATTATTTAAATGAATTACTGATCATTCAAACACATAATAAGAATATGCTATAAAAAGGTTTTAGATTTGCTACTTCTCCACATCATTGCATGCATTTTTTTGCTGTCTTTAACTGTATCTGGTCATTTTGCATATAAACATTTCAGTGTCATTAAATGCATTAAAATGTTCTTCAAAAAGAATCGCAACGTTAAAAAGCCCTCTCCAATGTCTTTAAAATGCCACTTTTAGGGTCTACCTCGAGACTTTCGACGATGCTTACCGCGGTCAGGTGGTATTTAATATTCTACAATTCTTCACCAATCGACAGACCTACGGACCGTACGGAATGACCGGCCTCTCTCCTCAGGTCAATGCATCAGAGGTGGAATTTGAAACCAACCGACCTCTCCACCATGTATCTGGAGTTCAAGGCACACGACTTTTAAAAGGTTTGGTGATTCATGTGGAAAAATGTTAGTCTAGTAATGACTCGGTCAACCTTTGCAGTAGGATACATACTGTCTCGGCGTAGGGATTTTACGTCGTTTTTCACCGCCATTACGTTACGTCGTGTTCGTTTTGTGAAACAATGGAAATTTGACCAAAACAAGTTAATATTATCTACAGAATTTAATTTCTAATACTTCGGATAAAATGGTATATTAATTGAGTTTTTAAGCTTCATACTATTTATAATATTTTAATTGGAAATGTTTGATTTAACAGAGTTTATGTTCGCCAAACTGGCTAGTCGAGGTGACATTTTTCCTTGACAACATCGTAACTTTCATCAGTATATGCAAACTAAAAAGTGTGCGGGAAATTCCAGAGCCTGTATTATGTGTTTAAAAGCCATTATTGTGTGGCTAAAATTTTATTCAAATCTATCCTTGTAAACAAATGTTTTAGTTGTATTTTGTAGGAAGATCGGCCAAGACGAGCCCAACTGAATGTTCGATTACATTTTCATTTATTTCCACTTTGGCGAATACTTTAAAATATTTATGTTGATCGCGCGATATATGTTAGTTTCTGTATAGGTTTTAGTCCCAATTCCATTTTACGATGTTATGACTGATATTTGTACAAAAACAATATCGAAAGATTTGATCAAAATTTTCAGTGGTACGTGTACAAGCTAAAATTGGCTAACATATATATTATTTAATGTTATTTGTGTAACATGTGACATTGATGAGATAAGCGGATTTGTTTCATTCTCATTGGCAGTAAAGTATTTTTATGAATATATATATATATATCTTAAAATTGTGTTATTGAACATATACAACATAGTGAAACATGTTGATCAATTAACTGACCAGTTATAAAAGTAGAAAAATGATAGATTAACATAATGATAGTAGAAATGCACCTTCAAAAGAAAGGAAGTATGATGTTACAATCTACACCATGTGTTGGATTGTTAATGATTTAAATGCACTTTTTGGTTGTTTCATGTTAAAGAATTTCTCTAGACATTTGGCAGATTAAGGAAATTAAACATTACCATTATATTTAATTTGCATTCATTACCAAGTACCACCAGTTTTTTTAAAATACATGGACCTATTTTGTCACAGTGTATACTAGTTCTACGACATGAAATAAAATCAAAATTTAAATGTCACAAAACATATGAAAGCTTTATGGTCCAGTCTGATAATGCATATAATTTCAAAATACAGTGTCATTTTCAACACTAATCACAATATCATATTTTGCGGGTTCTTTTACAACATTTTGCTCGTGAATCTTGGTTAATGTATAATAAATAAGGAAATGATTAATGTCAAATAAATTGCAAAATGTCTGTTTCCCTTCTTTTCTTTTCTTCATTTTCCATTCCTTTTCTGTCTTTCTGCTTGACTATTGTAAGCCAGCAATTAAATTGTAAATCATCAGCTATTGGTGTGCAGCAATAATCTAGTCCTGTGCACATACTCAGTAAATCTGTTATCTTTTATCTTTTATATCTCTATCAACAGAGATATGAAAACAATTACATAAACAACAATCTCTGAAAGGTTGTTTGATATCATCTGTCATTTGCAAAAAAGATCTTCACCTGCAATAAAAAAAATCACCACTGCAACATAAATAATTAGGGGCCATGGTTAAAGATAAACAATTTCATTAACATAAATTGAGAACATGTATCAAGACTTACTACAGTAGGCACTCACCTATCCACATATTTAAGGAAGTGCCTCAAACACGAAACAGCGGAACGGACTAAAATGCGAATCATGTTCACTGGCAATACAGTTATATTTTCAGCGTCACAGCAATTCATTCATTCAAAATATAAACAGAACACTCGATCGCGGAACAAAATGGTAAACTTAGTGAGGACTCCTGACGGTTAATTGGTAAAAATACGCTGTGCTTTTACAGAAGAACAAATGCTTATTTATTTTCTAAAATATTAAAGTTCAAGCCACATAACAGTAGATATTTTGCAAAAGAGATTTTCGTGCATCGTACTCATTTTAAATGAGTTGCCATGCTTGTGGTATTTTGTTACGCGGACGTAGCAAAAGGACGAAGTAAAGCACTTTTCGATAGTAGGCCTATGTGTCCTACTGCTTGCGATTTCATGTCTCAACGTATTTATATTAGATCACGGAGTTGATAGAAGATTCCCCAAATGGAGTGGATTCGGTCGTGATTGCGGTAGATGTGACAAGTGTGCACTCAAGTTACTCCCGTCTTACCCACTCTGCAATGGGCACCAATGTTCTGGAACATTGGCTGATCCAGTGAGAATTAAAATGCCACAATTGTGAAAATAAATTGAAGGAAAATATTTTGTGATTAAAACCGCATTTGGCACTCAGTTACGACAAAATTACAGACTTGTGCTTGTAGTGATGGACAATAAAAAAAAACACATTATTAGATTTGTTTATTTTCTATATACTCTTTGTCTCATCTGAGCTTGGCATTCATAAAAATTGCCTTAACTGACAAATTATCAATCAACCTATATACTTAGTTTTTCATTTGGTTTCCTTATTTAAATAAATGATTCTGACACTACAGGTATGTAGGAGATATGCGGAATGTATTGTATTGCATAACACCAATGTGAAATTGGAACAAAAGCTAATTAATGCGAAAGACGAAAAGAAAAAAAATAGTTGACTTAATACATGAATTTGACTCTGTAAGTATTGCTTAGGCACGTGCGTACACATACATGTATTATATGTGCGTTAAAACAGAATGAAGAATGTTCTTTATTCCATAAGGATCAATCCAGCGTTTATAAAATGTTAAGCAAGAAAAACTACTAATTTGGGGGCACCATAAATTTGGTAACCCAACTAAATCTGAACTTAGCACAGTAAATCACTACATCCCTTTTAAACCTTATCATACAAGTATTAATGTGGTACTGTACTGAGTAATAAGATGAACAAGAACGGCATACCAGGGACGTGAGCAAGGAACAAAACAATGACGCAGAAAGACAAAAATTGCACTCATAACCCCAATGTCCACAATAACGCTCGTTAATCGATCTTAGTCGAACAGCAGACTAACAGATCCGCGGATCAAATATGGCTGACCCAATTGAATGCTTGTTGCCTAATAGTTGTCTAATTGGGAATTAAACGGCAAGCTTTTTAAATTTATCACCATATTTGATCCGCGGATCTCTTAGGACGCCTCTCTGAATCCGCTCTAATTTGCAGTTCACAAATACACCCCCGTCGGTAGCGACAAGCCTTGTCATTCCAGGTTACTTTCCGGTAGAATCGTATTGTAGCACAGTCCTGCCCTCTGTTGGCGTTGTCTGGCTTCCGGCCAAACCACGTGTCCACTGTGGTGTTCAGCACAGCCCATACGAAGTGTCCTTCTGTCTGGGTGTCAGTGGCGCCGATCCACCAGGCAGGGGGAGATGCGATGGCGGCTGGAAGAAAGGAAAAAAGGATGAATAAATGACGACGGGCGATAAAAGATACTTCCACTAAAAGTGAAGTGACATCTGCATTTTGAAAGGAGACATATTGTTGAGCGGGGACAGTTTGACGAACAGGAACAACAGTCAGCTTGCTCTTGAGAAAACAGGTAAACAAGTGAATAATACTACTTTTCATGGTATGACATTTAGTTGGTTCGAAAATAATTTTGTCTCTCTCTCTCTCTCTCTGTGTGTGTGTGTGTGTGTGTGTGTGTGTGTGTGTGTGTTAAAATTCCTCTAATTGCGCCTAGTATCAGGTGTAATATCGTATATTATAGACTCAGGCTTAAATAAATCTGTTTTACCAAGGCATTAATTTTTTTATTAAAGTTTTGAATTTTTCTTTATTTCATTTAATACATTGTTGGTCTTGTATTTATATATATATATATATATATTTTTTTTTTTCATTTTTGCGTTTGTTGTGTGCCGGTGTCATGTGCCACAATGTCCCCCGTGACAGAGGGTCCGCTTCCAATTACTTTGTACAGGTGAGCCTCGCCCTAGATTTTGGCCCACTTAGGTCAGACTAACTCTAACTATTATAACTATATAGAGGGCGGGCTTTCTGTCACACGGACCCACAGTTTCGTGACACCGGTTCACACCTGGCGTTTTGTGCAGGTACTTACCGAAGTTGTTTAGTCTTAAGATATTAATGATGAATTCGTTCTCTGTTCGGGACTCTATGGCCACCAAGTTAGCGCCCAGCCTCTGACAAAATGCTTGAGATTCTGTCCAATTTTGGTTAATTACCGAATTTACAAAGTAGCAGGAATTGTTGGCACTGATGAAGTTGGGGGGACATTCTGAAAGAGAGAAGAAATATATTGCATGAACATAGCTAACAATTTCAAAAGGAGGGGGGTTCTGAAAACGGGAACTCTCCGTTTTACCATGAAACCTTCATGAACCTAGAAAAAATTCTACCCAGAGTGAACCATTTCGGGCAAAAGGGGGTTCTTTCGGACCCCCCCCCCCCCCCCC